CTCTCTCTTTTTTTTTTAAAGATTTTACTTACTTATTTGAGAGCAAGAGAGTGAGAGAGGGAGGAGGATCAGAGGGAGAAGCAGAATCCCTGCTGAGCGGGGAGCCTGACGGCAGGGCTCAATCCTGGGTCTCCGGGATCATGATCTGAGCTGAAGGCAGATGTTTAACCAGCTGAGCCACTGAGGCACCCCAGCACCTCAGAGTCTTAAAACAGGAGGAAGACGCAGAGATTAGATACAGGCCTTCAGATAGTAACCGCCAAGGGTAGCCAGTCAAGGAGATCTTCTCTGTGCTCTATAGCATTGCTTCTTAAACCTGTGTGGTGGGATGCCTGGGTGGCTCAGTCGGTTTAGTATCTGTCTTCGGCTCAGGTCGTGATCCCAGAGACCTTGAATCGAGTCCTGCATTGGACTCCCTGCTCAGCAGGGAGCCTGTTTCTCCCTCTGCCTACTGCTCCCCCTGCTTGTGCTCTGTCTCTCTGATAAATAAATAAACAAAATCTTAAAAAAAAAAAAAAAAACAACAACCCACAAAAAACCTGAGTGGTCATTAGAATCACTTGGAACACTTAGTACCATTCCGATGATTAGGTTTCACCCTGGAGATTCAAGGTCACTAGGTCTGGGACAGTCCAAGAATTTGCATTTCTCTTTCCTCATCAGTGCTAATGCTGCTGGTCCGCATTTTGAGAGCCAGTGTTCTAGAGCTTCTTTCTTTCTCTGTCTCCTTCATCACCAGATGATTAGGATGAAGCTCCATTGTGTTGGTCAGCACATGGGATGGAGAACGCTGTGTTTCTTCTGCAGTGAATAAGCCCAGGGCTACACTGCCGTTCCTCACCACGACCACCGACGCTATGCATGTCAGTAGGATAGACTTGTGACTTCCTTACCCGTTCTAGAGCTTGCATCTTCTTCCACATTGGAAGGTCATCTAGTTCAGTGGCTTCCAAAAACCAGTTTGAGAACCAGTGCTAGGCTGGTTGCGTACGCAAACCCAAGGATTGTGTTAAAAATATAAATTCCTTACCCCTGCTCTGGGGTATTTTGAGCCGATGAACCTGGGCTAAGGTCCAGAGACCTGTGTTTTTCATGGTCTCCCCTGATGATTCAGTCCACTTCAGCATTGTCTATCTACAGGCTTTGACTACTACTTTCCATGGTCACACACGGTACATTCCAGTAATACACAGCTCTTGGGAGTATCTTTGCCCCAAATTTAACTTGTACCCTCAGAGAAGGGGTGAGCAACCTTTTAGAAGGAGCATTCAACTATTTTTTTCTTTAGTTTTTCATCATCAGAGATGGCAACGCTGGTGGAATGGCCAGTGGTCCAGCCCCCACAAAAGGCACTAGTGGTCAGAGGGTTCTTCAGAGAAGCACCAGTCCTAGTGTGTTTAGAAGTGACTGTGTGCACACAGGCAACCTGGCCCCTGAGGCACTAAAATGAGCGAGATCGAGTCCATTTGGGATTCTCAGAAAGAGGGGAGGGTCCTTGCATAAGCTCCTGGATGAGTTCAGTCATTCCCTCACCCAACATAGAATCACTGGGTATCTGCTCCGGGTCAGACACAGAGGTGTGCTCTCAGGATAAAAAGGAAAGCAAAAAACAGTTCTTGCCCTCAGGAGTCCACACTTTTGAATCTTAACTTCAGATGCTGAGATGTATGCTATTATGTTATCCTGCTTTCGGCACAAGCATCTGTGTTGATACACACGCACACACACTCATGCACACACACACACAAACCTCTTCGGCACAGAAACATGTTTGGCACAGGTGCCAGCGGTTGCCAACCATCTTACATGCACACAGCCTTAAAACAAGAAAACAATGTCCATTTTAAGAGCTACTAACTCCGTCATCCTCTGCACAATTTTATTGTAGGTTGCAGACTACACAGTTTCCTTTCACAATTTTTCTTTATGTTACTGTTATTCCTCCATGATGGAGCTGGTTCATCGTCCACCAGAAGAAAAAAAAAAGGCATTTATTGTGTTATTTGGAGAGGAAAACTCCTCGCTTTAAGGAGGTATAGACACTAATATTAATTTAAAAATCTAATGTCTAATATCTACTTACTATAAAAACGGGCACATTTTTCTCTACAATCATCTGTGACACTGGATCCAAATTCAAATATTTTACAACACTTACATAGAATGGACTGCTTTATATTAAAATTCATGTAATGCTCCTACTGTCACCAGTTTAAGTCAGTCATCAAAGGACACTCCATCTAGCTGTATATATATATTTTTCTTGAGCTGAATAGTTTGAAGGTGTTACCAGCCCTCTTTGCTTTTAAGCACGAGAAAGTGCACTGTGGAAATGCAGTGTCTCATTTTTAAGGTCATTGATTGGGTGGAAAAAGGCAAATGCCTTCTTCTTCTTTTTTTCTTTTCTTTTGGTTGAACTTCCCCCAATTAAACAATTAACCTTTTAAAATAAGTATATTCAAAAATCTATCAAAAAGAGCTAAATGAGATTTTAACAAAATCCTGACAATTTCAGCTTAAACATATACACAGAAACCATATGTGCTTCGGAAGAAATATATACACACAGGCATTGTTTACAGTGTGTGTTTTTATATTTGGAAGACACTGAAGGAAGAGCCATTCCATACATACATTATCTGCAGTGTACATCCAGATAGCCCACATAGATTTTACATTAAGAGACAAAGATATCTTTATCCATGGTGGGTAGACAGACGGACTGACCGACTTCAAACTTCGACTTGCAGTGTGGATTTTTTTTTTTTTTTCTTCCTCATCTCCGGGTACTGCTTTTCAAAATTGCCTCGGGCTACAGAACAGCACCTCAGATCCCCAAGGCCCACTGCCTGGCTCCTAATAGCCACTCTCCATCTGTGTCACATGAACAGCTGATGAGATCGCGCCCGTGTCTATATTTTGGAGAGTACATTCACCCAGGTTAAAATGCTAGGGTTGCCAGGGAGCAGTCAGAAGCCATTAGTGCGGGTGAGATTTTGCCTTGCAGCAGTTCCTTGGCATGGTGGAAAGCGTGTACGTGTGTCCCTGCTCGAGCTTGTGTGTGTGAGTGTTTGTGTGTGTGTGTCTCCTTGTGCAAGGACCCCTCGTATACATGGGTGTATAGGGAGGGTAGATGGATGAAGACTGCCTCCGTAGAGCCTGTACTGAAAAGTCAAATGCCTTTTGTTTCCCTGTACTCTGATTAGTTCCTTGACGATTTGGGGTCCCTTTGACTCACTCTCTCTCTCTCTCTCTTTTTTTTTTTTATCATAACAGACGGCAAAGAAAAAGAGAACAGCAACTTCGGGGTCATGCTCTAGTGTTTGGGCAGATGGAAGGGAGCTGCTTTGCCTTGGGGCAGGGTGGTTGTAATGAAGTGGCCTGTCAGTCTGTAAATAGTGGGGGTCATCTCTCCCATGTGATGGAGGGTATCACATTGCAGTGAAAATGGAAACGTCAATAAAATTAATCTGCCAGCTCTTTGCTGTGGCTTTTCTGCTTCTCTGGTCAAAGAAGGTTGAGAGTTTTTTGGTGAGAAAGGAAGAGAACAGGTATTGGGGAGCCCACGGAGTTGACACCGAAGTTGCAAGGTGAGGGGCCCAGTGGGCAGGCCGTCTCGGGGTAGCCCTGACCAAGAGCAGGAAGCAGGTCTGGGAATGGGCTGGTGGCTCTCCAGCATTCCCCCGGAAGCTGCAGAGCGTCTAGCTCAGGCTACATTGAGCACAGAGTTTATTGTTTTAGGCTTTCTTGGACAAGGTTTTTACTTAGCATGGGATTTATGGCATTTACTGCTAATGAATATCTATTCTTAAATTACAAAAACCCCCATCTCAGCGCAATTCCCAGATGTCCTTCCAGGACCCTGGCTTCTTAAACACCAGCAGGGAGCATAAACTCTCCACTTCTCTGTTTTCCTCTTTCGTGTGGCTCCAGGCTAATGATGTGCAAGGAAAACACAGCCATCTATAAAGCCCCAGCGCTGTCCCCGTATTCTTCATTTATTTTGCATTTGATTATGCCACAAGTCGGATCTTGTTTCTTTCCTTTTTTTAAAGTTATTAGTTCAAATATTAATGTAGGGATATGGCATATATTGCTGCCCTTGATTGATGCCTTCCCAAAAACAGGAAGACGTGCTCGTATGAATTTTAAGAAAGTAGGGGTCCTGCAATGCCTTGCCAGAAGAGTTTTTCAGATACATAATTTAGATGCCCTCCAGGCAGGCTTTCAAGGCATTTTTGCTGGAGGGCAAGAAAAAATAACTATGACTGTTAAAAGTAAATGATTTTTGCTAATGTACAATTAATGCCAGAGAAAGACACAGAAGACGAAGATGTTGATAGAAACTTCTGATTAAGTGAGCACCCTACCTTCATGTACCTCTTTTTTTTTTTCCTTTTTTTAATGATAATGATCACGATCAGTGGTGCAGAGAACTAAAAGTTTTCCTGTCATGCAAATGCTGAGTGCAGGATCATCGGAGGAGTGTGTGAACGTGCGTGCGTGCTTCGGAGGTGACAGTCCTAGGAGGGGCTGAGCAGGCAGTGTGTTATGTGCAATGAACAGTGACACAGTTACTGTCACCTATGCAGGCTGCCTAGAATATATAGACTACAGAACATTTAACTTGATTACCCTACAGTATGTGTTCACTATGGGGATGGGGATGCATTTTCACCGAATGGGTTTTCTGATGGCGGTTTTCCCACATTGGATTCTGTAATTGACAAAGAGCTACTGCCCTGTGTCAAGCACACAATTATAATGGAATTAATGATATGGGCGAGTGTGAGACACACAAAATTAACATTTGAAGAGGGCTGGTTTAATTTTGTCTTTTACATATTTGTGTCTCCAATTATACTTTAATGAAAAGAGAATATACCCGCTTAATGGATTTCTCTCAACAAGCTTAGCTGAGCTCGTCAGCTGCACGTTGTCGTTGGCCCCCTTTCTGTGTTGTCTCTAATGTATTTTCCCTTTTTTTTTTTCCCGACCAGGGGACGGTTTAGACAACAGTGTAGCTTCACCTGGCACAGGTGATGACGACGACCCAGACAAGGACAAAAAACGCCAGAAGAAAAGAGGCATTTTCCCCAAAGTAGCAACAAATATCATGAGAGCATGGCTCTTCCAGCATCTCACAGTAAGTCAAGATGAAAGAGAAAGTTTTGCTTTGCCTGCTGCTAGCATACGGACACAGGTTGATAACTGATTTAAGAAAATAGTAATAAGGTGACTGTTCTCCCTTTCTTGAAATCTGATGACCAGTGGAGCAGTTAAGGTTTTGCCGTCACTACCCACCCTCTAGAAAGGAGGACGTTTTTGTTTTAATAGGCCCGGAATGGACCTTATTCAAAACTGGTCTAGGGCCCTACACGGCATGTATAAGTCAATTTGTTATTTATGCTAAAAGGTATGAGAGTGACTTCAGATAACACCCCTGTGACCAAGGGAAATGGCTGGAAGGAGCTGAGTCTGTAAACGCTGCTGATTACACTCTTAATGAAAGCCATCTCCTTCAGGAGGCCAAAAAAGGGGAGTGGGGGGCAGCACCTTGCCCCATGCATGTCCAAGCTCATAGTATCAGGTTCAGCTGTACTTGCGGGAGCCACGTGCAAACGCAGCTTGTGTTTCTGGGACACACACAGAAGGGTTCTAGGTGCTCTAGCACCTTCGTCTGTAAGGTGTAGATTAGATTATTTTTCAGCTGTTCAAGTCCATTTTCTTATAAGCTCACCCTGTTCCCTTCTGGGGAAAGATCAACTCCGCCACATTTTTAAAGTAACAATGTATCTTTACCCTCTTGTTTGTATTCGGTTTTGTGTGTCCGTGGTTGATTTTAAGGCTCTGGTGATAGGAAAAAAAAAAAAATCACAGTATATTCTCATAGAGGAACCAGGCACTCCTATTTCCCTGTTCGTCTGGAAATTCTGGGAAAACGGTGAAGGTGTCAGAGGTGGTTGCTTGCTATGATATTGTTTTCAGGCCATTCTCTTTAGGCTAATGCTTAAAAATAGAGTAGCCCACTGAAAGCTGAAGGTCTTCTTTGATTATCCAACTTGTGTGTTGCCACGCTGAATGACATTAGTTACAGTGTCATGGGTCCAGGACAAGGTTCCAGTTTTATTTATGGTGGTGGCCGCCGCTCTGCTCTTGCCGCCGAGCTACAAAGGGCAAAGGGTGGAGTGGTGGCGGGAGGGCGGAGTGATAAATTCACATTCCTAAATCGGCCATTTTGATGTAAGGACATTAGTAGCAAACTAAGGTGTATCGATCTGGCCTGTGGTGTCAGGATTAGCTAGGAGAACCAACGAGGCTGCCCTGGTGGTGGTTATTCTTGCCTCGCAGCTATGGCCATTTCAAAGGTCAGGGCCCTGCACTGACTCGGCTCAGAGGAATTAGACAGAACATGCGGTCTCTGGGCTGATTACTTAACCAAAGACAAAATAATGAGTCCTAAGCAAATACTGACTAATTGAAAGGGCTGTAAATCCATTACATATTGGTCAGGGATAATCAGGAGTATTTAATCACTTTTATCTATTCAGGAGCACTGAAGCTGCAACAGCAAAGCCTTGAACCTTGCCATGTGGCTATTATTCTCATCATTATCAAAATTACTTCACAGCTGTTCTTTGCTACATCACCTCAGCTGGAGATTTACTAACCTGTAAAATGTTTTTAATTTGGAAGTCGAGTGAGTGTGAGGGGAGGGGCTTCTCATTTTTTTTTTTTTAAAGGAAGGTTCGTTTGGTTAGAGTAGCAAGTTAGAGAGGCAGGGTAGGGGCACAGGGATGGCAGGCACCCAGCTCGCTCCCCGCCAGCTCACCTGTTTGGCTTCCTCCCTCTGTCTTCCTTCACGCTCAGCCCTTCTCGGCCAAAGAGAGAGGCTTCAACGGTGGCTTTCCAAGCAAACGTCTCCATGTGTTTGCAGTCCCTCAGTAATCAAAGTCAACATCCCAGAACAGCCCAACCTGAGAGAATCAGCTGCTCTGTTTACAGATGAGGAAACTGAGACCCAGGAAGGGAAGTGATTAACTCAAGGTCAAACTGCCACCAGGACCCAACCCTTCCCATGCCCCGCACTGTGCTTTTTCCACCCCATTACGGTCACTTTGCTAAAACCCTTATTTATCCCCTTTACGGGTAGTATATAAATCTCACACAGCTTCTGCCACCAGTATGCTCAGCGTCAAAGGGGGATATAGGGAGAGGCCAAGTGCCATCTTCTGTATCCGTTTTTAAAGCTTCCTGCTCCCCCCCATCTCTCAGAGCAGAGAAGACTTTGCACCTTTCCTTTCAAGCTGACCCTCTCCTTCACTATGTGGCTGCATTCTGGGCCTTGAGTCTCCCATGTTAGGGTCCGGAGCCCTTGCTAGACGTCCTGCCTTGTCCTTTCAGTACCTTATCCCCCACCTCCGTGCCCTAGGCTGACCCCACCCGTGCACTGTGGCCACTGGTGAAAAATGGTGGGTGGCCAGTGATGCTGGGCGCCCCTTCTTGCTTTGCTGAGCGGGCGGCTACAAATCCACCACAGCACCGCCCCCCCGCCCCCACCGTGAGAGTGCTTTCATCTGGTTAAAGGAACTCAAGACTTGGTGCAGAATTCTATGGCCAGCTGAAAAATTTCATTAATGCCTACCCTTGGAGCAGGGAGAGAAGAATCAAAAAGCCTCAGCCAGCCGGTTGGGAAACCGGCCTTCTGAAGTCAGCACGCCCCTGTACCAGCTGCCCCTCAGTTAAGCCCATTAAGTTCTCTGGACCTTCCGTTGTCCCATTTTTCAAACGAGAGGGACACAATGCAGGGTCTCCACACTGCGGGGTCCTTGCCCGCATCCATAGCGCTGGGTTTGCCTCAGGAGCACGTAGCCAGAGCCCCGTTCTGTCCCAGCCTCTGGTCATCCTTGCCTCCCTGTCCCCCTTTCTTTTTCACTCTCTGCTGAGTGCTTTATTTTTCTCTTCCCCATGACCTTCTTTCACAACATGCCCCTTTCATTACTTTCTCCCACTGGCTTTGTCTCCCAGTCTTTCCCTCTGCTCCCCTCCCTTGCCCTTTCTGCACCTCCCTTGTATCATAAGGAAATTCTCCTCGGCTTTCTCTTTGAAAAAATTTTCCCTCTTCATCTAGATTTCACCCCAACTGCAGAGAAGAGGTTCAGTCACTTTGATGAGGATGGTCCTGTAAAACTTTTCCTTTCCAGTCTTTAATGAGCCGAAAGATTTACTCAGCTATAATTCCGAGCTCAGAAACCAAGAATAGAGACCCCTCACTAGCGACATGTTAATTTAGACTTTTCTTACGTGCACTAACAGGCATGAGGAAGTCCTTGGAAATAGAGATGCCCACTATATTTTTCTGTCACTTAATTAATTTCAACTTTCAAAGTGAAATGTTGGCTCTAGCTCACTGAAAATAGATGTAGTCTAAATTATTATTTCATGTAAATTTCCTCACAAGCGCATGATTCAATGTACATTTCTCCATTCTTAGTCTCTTTAACATTATTTCAAACTGGTTTGTTCCCTTTTGTGCAGTATGACCTGTTCTTGTATAACAATAATCCCCGATGTACCCTTTTCTCTTTCTTTTTTTTAAAAAGAAGCTAATTGAATTATCTCATTATTTTAATTTGTTAAGCAAATGTATTTTGCATCTCAGGATGTGTTCTTAAAGAAGGGGGCTGCTAAGGCTTTGCCCCCTGAATGGGCCATTGGCCCATTTTGACATTCATGCATTCATTAACTAGCAGAACATAAAAGAACTCTGGTTGTATTTTTTTTTCCAAACACCCAACCAGCATGGAGCAACTTTTTCCAATAAGCCACAGGGGTCTCTCTACATATGTTCTCAACTGCAAGCTATTGTCACCTATTCTGAATACCTCAAAAGGCCTAGAGAAAAAAGAAGCCTACCTCAACAAAGGCCAACTGTAGCAATTGTTAAGTCTTAGTCTCAATATGACAAAAATCATTAACCTTCAGTTTTCTTGGAAGAACAAGTTCCACTACAACTGTAACAGTTAAAACCATCTCAAATTCCTGCACACCACCAGTTTTAGGGAAAAAGGTAATACGCTTGCAGCTGATTGATTATATTGAAGGAGATATTTAAACTAAACCCAAAGTGGCATTTAAACAAAACAAACTATTAGACGAATTCGGGAATTTCCGTATTCAGAGTTAAACACTTTGAATTTAAATTTAATCTGAGGCTAGATAATTCATTTCTGGTTTCTAACTACCAATTTCCAAAGTGTCTTTTAAAAGTCCCCTTTAAAAACCTCATAATAACTTAAAAAATAAACCCATATCTATCTATCTATCCATCTATCTCTAAATTGTGTATATATTTAGAAATTCATCTCCTGGAAATGTTCTATATACAATTACCCCCCTCTTTCTACTGATTGATGGCCCTGCCTAGCTCTCAGACGAAGAAAAATAGTGAAGATTGAAGAAAGAATCTGTTGGAAATGTATGTGCTTTTGCTGGAACGTACCCAATGGCAAAAGAACTTAGGGAAATCCTAGGGAAGTATATTCCTTTCACTAACACATGGAGATTATGGTATCATAAAAGTAAGCCTGCCATTACAACTGTTTTTATTTGACTTCAAAGATAGTTAAAGAAAGAAACAGCAAGAAATAATACTGGGGCTAACAGTTTATTCATAACCGTGAAACACTCCTCCACGCCAAGAAGCCCTTAGTGTGTTCAATTAGGCTCTCAGGCACCTCCACTTGCCACCTTCGAGAGCTTTCTAGTTGTGCTGCAAAGAATATATTTGGTCATGGAATGAAAACAGGAAATGATATAAACAAAGACACCCCTTGCTCATACCAGTCTCTAACTAAAGGTTTTCTTATTTGAAAACACGGGCCTAAAGCTTGCATGTAGGGGATGTGGGACTTCCTTCAAAGATATGCATGCAGAATCAGAAGCAAATTTACTTTAAAGTGATGTTATATCCTGCAGCGTTCTTGAAACCGCAGGTTCTAAAAACTGTGTCCTTTGTTGCTGGCAAAATGCTTTGTCCTGCTCTAGACCTCTGATACTGGGGGAGAGCGATGAAGCCTGACATTCACACATTCAGTTGTTTGGCTCCTTGGCTATTGGAGATTGTTTTATGGGATTTTGCAAGGG